GAGAAGTATATATTAATAGTGCAGCCTCAGGGGTGCCTGGGTGGCTCAGTTGGTTAAGCATCTGATTCTTGATTTCAGCTCAGGTCATGATCTCAGGGTTGTGAGATTGAACTCCACATCAGGCTCCATGCTAGGCGTGAAGACTGCTTTAAGATTCTCTCTCCCTCTGCCCCTCCATCACCTCTCCCCCTCTCTAAAAAATAATTAATTAATAGTGCAGCCTTAAAGATATTGGAGTCCACTGTCTCACTTCATCTCAGGACTTGCTCTGCCTACCAGACTGGCTTTAACACAGTTCCTGCCTTCCTGTAACCAGTTACTTCAGTGTTTCCTGAGTTTTGGATCCCATATATTCTGAAAATAAATCCCTCATTACTTGAGGTAACTTGTATGTAGCCAAAGAGCTAAATAAAATCCATATATCTAAGTAAATTTGTTTCCCTTCTGTGAGAGGGAAATGTAGAACAGCCAAAACATCTGCACCTGAAATTAAGAATGGGGAACCCAGGGGTGCCTGGGTGGTTCAGTCAGTTAAGTGCTGTATCAGCCTCCCTGCTCAGTGGGGAACCTGCTTCTCCCTCTATCTCTGCCCCTCCCTGCCACGCTCGCTCTCTCAGATAAAAATAGATAAAATCTTAAAAAAAAAAAAAAGAATGGGGAACCTAAGGGGCACCCTGGTGGCTCAGTTGGTTAAGCGTCTGACTCGATTTCAGCTCGGATCATGATGTCAGGGTCCTGAGATCGAGCCCCACGATGACAGGTTCTGTGCTCAGTGGGGAGTCTGCTTGAGATTCTCTCTCTCTCCCCCTCTGCCCCTCCCCCCGTGCGCGCACGCTCTCTCTTTCTCTCTCTCAAATAATAAATAAATCTTTAAAAAAAAATTTTTAGTTCAAATGTAAGACAGTTCAGCTTCAAATTCATGGTTCTACCCAAGACCATCATCAAAGAGCTTTACCTAGTAAAATCAGTGGCATTCTGCTTCTCTGAAACCCTGTCATTGCACTGCATACTCCCCTTGTACTGAAAACTTCCTTTTTTCAGTGCAGCAGGATCACTTTCCATAGCTACCCCCCGCAACTACTGTCTATATTTTTGTAAAGAAGCTCAAGTGGGGACCTGAAGAAAGGCAAAGTAAAGGTTGCATAATAACAAAACTGCAGAGAGTGTCATTTCACAGAAATACATTGAATTGGTCATGGAAAGTTGCTAGAGATGAATAGCAAATCTGACTCTATACTTATTAGCAACTAGTTCAAAGGGGGAAAAAACTCATCGGTTCAAGCAAAGTCCACAAAATAAAAGTAAATCAATTATTTATGAGAATCACTGCTTTTCTTTCCTTTTTTTTTTTTTTAAGATTTTACTATTTTTAAGTAATCTCTATACCCAACATGGGGCTCAAACTCACAACCCTAAGATCAAGGGGTTGCACACTCTACCAACTAACACTGCTTTTCTTGACACTGAAAACTAATAGAAAGCTTCCATAACTGCTCATCAAGAGAGCATCGTGACATTGTAAATAATGTTCTCAAAAGTCTTCCACAGTAGTATTACAAGAAATTCTATCTGGCTGGGTTTTTCACAACATGCCTAACAGTACAAATGACAAGGTGAAATAGAATAGAAGCAATTTTAGGGAGTCCAAAATAATGCAGTGTAGGTTTACAGATTCCTGATAGTCTGGCTTAATCTCAGAGTAAAATTTACAAATCTAGGGCATGGATAGGTTGTCCTTTATTTTTTTATTTTTTATTTTTTTAATTTATTTTTTGACAGAGAGAGACTGTGAGAGAGGGAACACAAGCAGGGGGAGGGAGAAGCAGGCTTCCCGCTGAGTAGGGAGCCCGATGCGGGGCTCGATCCCAGGACCCTGGGATCATGACCTGAGCTGAAGGCAGACGCTAAACAGCTGAGCCACCCAGGTGCCCCTAGGTTGTCCTTTAAACAACTCCTCATAAACATTACATCTTTAACTCTTGGTAAGATGTCGATAACCAACACTTCACAGGCATTATTTCTCTTAACTTCTGATACTTTCTGGTGAGCAAAAAATTCAAGGTTGCATTCCATGTTCAGGTAATTTACATTTTAGACAGTTTGTGTTGTCAGTTTAAGGGCAGAGAGCAATCTGCCTTCCATTTTTATATCTTTCCTATCCTTTACAGTAAAGCTACTTGAAAGAATGATCCATGTTCAATGTCTTCACTTCCTCACCACGCATTATCTCCTCATCTAGACAATCTGGCTTCTGTCCCCCATCACGCCACTGAAATCATTCTTGCTACATCACTAACAAGAACTCCCATTTTACCTCTTAGACAATTAACACCTTGGGCCCTCTCTGTCCCCTGAAACCCTCCCCGCAGCTACAACGACAAACCCTTTCTACCTTCTCTGGCAATACTTTTGCAGAGCTCCACTTCTGCTCCCTCTGTTTCCTCAAGACTATCTCCATCCTCAGCCATTTCCTTGTCTTACTTTACATGGTCTCCCCGTATATGAACTCCCCGTGTGGGAACTCAATTACTACTTAGAAGTATAGGATTCTAAAGTCTGTTTATAGCCTTTATCCCTCTATGCTAGCTCCAAAGCCACACACCCAACTGTGTACCAAATATTTCCGCCCTACTGTCACCCGAACATTTCAAATCCAACAGGTTCAAACCTGAAATCATCCTCTCTTTTCTTCCCCATCCCAATTTGCTACTCCTCCAATATTTCCTCTCCAAATCAGAAATCTGGACTTCTTTGTAGACTCATCCCTCTCTCCACATGCTACATCTAAACAGTCATCAAATCCTGTTATTCCTACTTCTCTAGATCGGCTGAATCTCTACCTTCTATTCCATTACCACTGCCTGTACCTAACTAAGCTCAGGTTCTTGCCATTTTTGCACCTGAGTTACTTAAAAAGCCTCATGACTGGGGCGCCTGGGTGGCTCAGTCGTTAAGCGTCTGCCTTCGGCTCAGGTCATGATCCCAGGGTCCTGGGATCAAGCCCCGCATCGAGCTCCCTGCTCGGTGGGAAGCCTGCTTCTCCCTCTCCCACTCCCCCTGCTTGTGTTCCCTCTCTCGCTGTGTCTCTCTGTCAAATAAATAAAATCTTTAAAAAAAAAAAAAAAAAGCCTCACGACTTCCTGCCTCCAGAATTATCCCCTCTCCCATTTATCTCCAAACTACTGCCAGAGTTATCTTCCTTAAAATCTGATGTCAGGGGCACCTGGGTGGTTCAGTCGCTAAGTGTCTGCCTTCGGCTCAGGTCATGATCCCAGGGTCCTGGGATTGAGCCCCACATTGGGCTCCCTGCTCAGCGGGAAGCCTGCTTCTCCCTTTCCCACTCCCCCTGCTTGTGTTCCCTCTCTCACTGTGTCTCTGTCAAATAAATAAATAAAATCTTAAAAAAAAAAAAATCTGATGTCAATCCTCTGCTTATGTCCTTTAATGGTTATGGAAAGATGGAAAGCCTTCTGGATTAAAGTTAAACTCATTACCTTAGTTTAATTTATAAAGATCTTTATGAACAGGCTCTACTTATCTCTCTAGCCTCATCTGTCTATACTTTATACATACCTTCTGTTGTTTGTTATACTAAACTATTTATAGTTCCAGGTATATACCTTGCTATTTGATCCCCCCATAGTTTTATATATGCCTGTCCTGCCTAGAATGTATAGGGCTTAAAATTGGATGCTAAAGTAACAAATGACCAGGAACAAACCCCTTCTCTACCACTAACTTAATCCCATCTATCACTGAATGACTGACTGAGGGCAAATTACTTAAATCAAGCTTCATTTTTCTCACCTATAAAAATGAAGTAACACCCTTCACTACTACATACAATTAATTGTTAAGAGAATTCTAAAACACGTAAAGTGTTTACCTCAGTGTGTTGCACATGGTAAGTGCTCAATAAATTTTGACCACTATTTTATTTATTTATATTTTTATTTAAGTAATTCACACTAAAGCTTCAAGATTCAATATTATCTCTTCAAGAAAACCCAATCCCCTAGTTTGGTTTAGATATCCTTTCTCTTTACTTTTTTAACACTCAGAATATATCTCTACGAACACACTTACCATACTGCACTGGTCTGTTTTCCCTCTCTAGACAGACTTCCTAATAGAATTTTTTCTACTTGGTTTCTCTATGACCCACCAGAGCAACTGACACAGAGTAGACATACAATAGCATCCTACCACAGAACTAAATGAGTAGGCCATTTAGAAAACATCGGAAACACTAAATTCAAAAGCTTTAACCAGAACAGGATAGTGGCATAGTCCAGCCCGGAAGAATTCCCTTCTAGGATATAATGGCAGTGACGTACGTAGAGACATAGTTTCTGAACAAAACACACAGTTTCACAGTTTTTTTCCTAATCTCAGAATCAGGAAGCATCATAAAATATAAATATAAATCATACCTAATCATTTATAAATTGTCTTTTTGGAACAGAATTACATTCTGTAATTAAGCTCTAAATTACACTGAAAAACCAGAAACATGTCATTCCTTTTCAGACCAGATAAAAATTACTCAGCAGTAAATTTCCTACCCTCTGGTGGATTTCCATCACCAGTCAATTCTCCATAAGGAAGTCTTGGCAACAACACAAGTAACTCAGCCTTAACTGGAAATAATCATCTCAGATATGAAAAAAAATACACTTTTACAAACTGTGCCAAGAATCCTCAGCCAAATTCAAAAGCCACAACTGTCAGCATTATTTTATTAAAACTAAAATTTCAAAAGCTAAGAGCAAACAGCAGCAACTGCTTGAATGTACCCTACAAAATGGACAAGAGAGAATCAAGTAAGATAATATATGCAAGTGCTCTGTAAACCACAAAATTATACAAACATGAGTTACCACTGTTAACAACTTCATTAATTTTCATCACCTAAGAATTTATTTTTTCCAATTCTAAATTTTCCAAATTTCCAAAACTTATTTTTCTAAATTTTGTGTATACCAAATAATTCATCTTACCTATTTTCTTTTTTTGTTGTCGACCAGCTGACTCTGTTATTGTTTCCTTCTTCTTTTCCACTGTAAACACAGTAACAGTAAAAATTAATTATGCATTATACTAAAGAAATGAAGGATGCTTTATCACAGCTGAACCAATGAAAGAAGCTCACAAGAAAGTTACACACTGCCTTTCATTATGGTCCTGAGCAAGTCAACCGATCTGCTCCCACAGCTGCTGACAGAAGGCAGACACAACAATCTAAGACTAAGACAACAACACTGGAAGCATCGTCACTCAAACACCCGTAAAGGATTGCATAAGGACACAATAATAGTAACTACTGAAACGTAATAAAAACTAAGATGGCTTTCAGACCATCAGCTGAGGGTGACTGCCGTAGGTTGAGTCTAAGCACAATTTTCAAATTCTGCTCTCTCAGATAACTAAGGTTAATTATAGTTCCACTCTCATATTCACTATAGAAGGTAGAAATTCATTTATTCACCTATTGGTGCATAAGGAATTGGCATTGTTCTAGGTAGATAAAAAGATAACCATGATCCTTGCCCTCTAAAGAGTAATCTAGTGAGGGCAGATAATTGAATAACAATTATAACACAGAAAACTGGCAAGACAGACATATGCGTAGGGTAGGGAGATCAAGAGAATCAAAAAAGCTAAACCCAGGGCACCTGGCTGGCTCAGTCAGTGGAGCATGCAACTCTTGATCTCGGGGTTGTGAGTTTGAGCCCCACATTGGGCATAGAGATTACTTAAAAACAGACAGAAGAAGCTAAGACCAACTTCTTTGAATGCATTTCAATTACTATGATGATAGAGTAAAAATAACCTTGTAAAGAGAAATAATGTAACATATTTATATTTTATATTTACTATCTTTCATCTATATACCTATCATAGTCCACCTATTAATGGACTAAGAATAGGTATGTCAAAAATTACCTTTACTTAGCTTATTTACATTCTTTGTTCTGTATAATATCTTAGCATACTTCCTTTACTCGCAAACAGTACAGTACATGTATTATTTCTAAAAGTTGCATCAAAGAGAATTGGCAGGTAAGACTTTTTCTCTTAGTACATTAATTATGCTACCTGAATTCTAAAATTGGTATTACCACTTTAACAAAGAGATGTAAACTTCGATTTGACTCCAATATTGCAAGTGAAACAGTAAAGTGCTGACTAAAATAAAATGTGTGTGTGTGTTTGTAGTTTCAATATATGCACTGGTGTCTAAGTACCAGTACTCTTTTATGCAAATAAAAAGATAAAACATGACATATACCTATGGGGGAGAAAGACATTTAGAGTGAACCTACTAGTATGAGATCATAAAAGGAAATTAAATCAGATTCTACAAGATGTTACCGAATAACATTTTAAAAGACAAAACCGACAGAAAACATTGAATGTTGTACTCTTTATCATTACTATTAACCAAAGAAACAAAAATTTTTCTTTCCCTTCCCAGAAGGACCATAACATAACTACTTAGCACTTAACCATAACTGCATAAAAAACAAGAAGGCTAGAGAACAGAAACATAAGATGGTACTGTGAACATTAACCTGGTCTTCTAGGGCACTGGACTGAGGCTAGATAAATCTGTTCTAAGGAGATGTCTATGGATAAAGTAGAGCCCATAATAGGAAGATCTGACCTTTCTGAAAGACTAAATAAGGTTTTGAGAGCTAAAGAATGAGTAGGAGTTTACTAGACAGAATGAGTAGGAGTTTACTAGACAAAAAGAGAAAGGAAAGTTATTCCAGTTAGAGGGAAGAGCAGATAAGGCCTGGGCCCATAGTAGGAAAAAGACTAGTCCAGAGGATGGAAAACGGGCCCGAGTGGCTAGAGAATAGACAGCAAGGGATAACCTGATACAGGATGTAGCTGCAGGGGAAGGGAAGAGGCACCAGACCATGCTGGACCTTGCAAGCCCCATCTTTATCCGAAAAGCAATGGGGAAAAACAAGGTATTTTGAGAAGAGCAAGTAACATAAGATTTGTGTCTTAAAAAAAAAAAAAATTACTTTGGATGTACTGTAGAGAATAAATCTGAGTGGCTGCAGGGAGACCAATGAGGAGGCTACTGCAGTAGATCACAGGAAACATGACAGACGTTTAGACTACGTGGTGGCGGCAGAACTGGAGAGATGTGGAGAGATCACAAACTTTCCTGGAGGAGAACAGTAACAGGGCTTGATGGTGGACTGCACATACAGGGTGAGAGAAGAAAGTATTCAAATCAGCAAATATTTATTGAACATTTACTATGTGCCACTGTTCTAGGTGCACAGGATATATCAGAACAACAACAAAAACGCTTTCCTAGTGAAGCTTTCATTTTAGCAGGTGGAGATAAACAATAAACAGTAACACAATACATAAATAGATCATATAATACATTAGAAAGTGGCAAGAGCCATGGGGGGAAAGATGGAGCAGGGTAGGGGCACCTGGGTGGCTCAGTCGTTAAGCGCCTGCCTTCAGCTCAGGTCATGATCCCGGGGTCCTGGGATCGAGCCCCACATCGGGCTCCCTGCTCAGCGGGAAGCCTGCTTCTCCCTCTCCCACTCCCCCTGCTTGTGCTCCCTCTCTCGCTGTGTCTCTCTCTGTCAAATAAATAAATAAAATCTTTAAAAAAAAAAAAAAGATGGAGCAGGATATGGGAGATGAGGAGCAGCAGAGGTAGAAGAGATGAGCAGGCTGCAGTTTTAAAGAGGGTGGTCAAGACTCACAGAAGTAAACCTTGAACAAAGATTTGAAGACGATATGGGGCTAACTAAGCCGATATCATAGAGAAGAACATGCTAGGCAGAGGGAACAGCCAGTAGAAAGCTCCTGAGACAGGAGTGTGGCTGATGTACAGAGAGGAACAGCAAGGTCAGTGTGGTTGAAGCAGAGTGTGTGAGAGAAGAATATCAGAGCAGTAACAGGGGAAGCTCCACAGCCCACTGTAAGGACTCTGGCTGTTCCTGAGTGAAAATGGGACACCATCACAGGGTTATGAACAGGGATGGGACATGCTCTAATAGCTTTAAAAAGGATTATTCTGGGGGTACGTGCGTGGCTCAGTCAGTTCAGCATCTGACTCTGGATCTCAGCTCAGGTCTTGATCTCAGGGTCCTGAGTTCAAGCCCTGCATTGGGCTCCACACTGGATGTGGAGCCTACTTTAAAAAAAAAAGGATTATTCTAGCTGTTATCTTGGGAGCAGACTATAGGGAAACAGGAACACTTGTTGGAGGCTGCTGTAATAATTCATGCAAAGGATGAAGGCAGTTATCAATGGAGGTGATGGAAAGTGGTCAGACTCTGGATATGTCCGAAGGCAGCCCAAAAGTATTAGATGTGGGGTGTGAGAGAAGAGTTAAAGATAACTGCACAAGGATTATGGCCTGAGCAAGTAGAGGGACAGACAGACCTGCCACTGACCAAAATCCTGAAAGCTACAAATGCAACAGCCTTAAGTGAGGAAAAAGTATTCAATTTGGACATGTTGGGTTTGAAATGTATATTCGACATTACAGTATAATTGACAAATTGATATGTAAATCCTTATTTGAGCATAGTTGACACACAATGTTAATTTCATGTGTACAACATAGTGATCCAACTTCTCTCCACATTATGCTATGCTCACCACAAGTGTAGATGCCATCGCTCACCATACAAATGTTATTACAAGGATATATGGATCTTGCATTAAGGAGAGAGGGCTAGGGATATAAATTTGGGAGCCACTGACAAATAGAGCACATGACTAAATTCACCAAGGGAGTGAGTGTAGGGGACTAAAAACAAACTGGGGTGCCCAAAAACAAGAGGTTGAAAAGAGGAACCAACAAGGAAACTGCAAAAAAATGGCCAGCAAGGGGCGTCTGGATGGCTCAGTCGGTTAAGAGTTTGACTCTTGATCTCAGCTCAGGTCAGAGTCTTGGGATCAAGCCCCACTTCAGGCCCTGTGCTGGGCATGGAGCCTGCTTAAGATTCTCTCTCACGTTCCCTCTGCCTTTCCCAATTCCCCTACCTCTCTTAAAAAAAAAAAAAAAAAAAAAAAAAGACCTGCAAGGTTAAGAGCAAAACCAAGAGAGTGTGATGTCCTGAAAACGAAGTGAAGAAAGTGTATCAAGGTTTCTGGCTTGCACTATCAGAAGCATGGAGGTACCATTCGTCACGTAGAGAAATACCGGAGGAGGATCACGTTTGTGAAGGTAAAGATAATGAGCTTGGTTTTTAATATGTTGAGGTGCATTATCCACACTGAATACGTCAAGGACCAGTAAACTATAATTTCAAAAGCCCGAGTTTGGTTTCTAATTCTTTGTTTGCTCTATGATATTAGTATGTTATTTAACCTCTCTGAACCTCACTTTCCTTTTCTATAAAGAAAGAATAATATCTATACAACTGATCACAAATGGTTGCTATGTGGATCAAGTGAGATATTGTAAGGAAGAAAACTTTAAACCCTTATGAAGACATAAAGATGTCACAGAATACAGAAAGTCAGAGGAATTTTAAGATACAAAAGTTATACTTAATCTTTATAAGGCAGAAAAGAACACTGAAAGCTACATCAAGCCTATAAAGAACCATTCACATTATACCTCTCGCAGTCCCCTCAGCTGTGTCCTGTGGAGTTCCTCCTTTATTCAAAGGCCACAAACTGTACTTGTTCTTAACCTTTTACTCAAACTGTCCTTCAACCGCCTCACACAACTGAAATTTGCCTTATCCCTGAAGACACCGCTCACCTGGATACTAATCATAATGACCTGTTGTTCTCCAAACACATCTTCTCACCACAATTTCCATATTTCTGCACATATCTGATTTTCTTCGCCTGGAATTCCTACCTCCAGCTCGTTCTCTATCCGAATTCCAACTATCCAAGAAGGACGACCAGCCATCGCCATCACAAAGGCTTCCATGGCTCCTCACAACTGAATAGGATCTCTTCTTTAGAACCACCACAGCACCTAACTCGTACTTCTCATGTCCCTTGCTCTATTGCCATTTGTATTATACATTTTGCATAAAAATATCTAATACTGCATATACCTCTACATAGCCTTCAATTCAAATCGGACTCGTCTTTGTCTTCCTATAAAGTCTTTTTATCAGTTGGTGCTCGTAAAGTATTTACTGTGAACATGCATTCAATGAACTTGACCCGTTGAAACTGTATCTAAAGGATGTTGCCATACTCACGTTTTTTACTCTGTTTCTCCACCTCCGCTTTCAGTCTCTTGTACTTGTCTGTCCTGTAAACCAGGACCCAGGTTATACCTGAAACATTAAAAGCAACATGCTAACAGAAAAAAATGTTTGTAATGGTCACAGCAAACTTACTGGTGGTCACTGTTGGGTGAGGAGGGATTTCAACTTTTTGCTTTATATTTACCACCAGTTAACTTTTTTCAAATGTTAAGACATCTGACTCTTCAACCAAAATAACGGACACACGGTATGAAGGTGTCTCCACAAATACGCAAGTGAAATCGACCCTAAACCGGACTCCACGCTACCCCTCCCGCTCCTGTTCCCGATTGGCCCCGATTCCCTGGAGTAGATGAGCACCCCCACCATCCCAACCCCAAGCAAGCAAGGCTCGCGACCACTCCCTTGGTGGCGCGAGGGTCCCCAGGCCTAGGATCCTTCCCATGGGGGCTGATCAAACGTCAGAGAAGCCGCCGCTCTCACCCTCGGCAAGAAGAGCCGTGCACACGGAGATAAAAACGATGAGCAGTGTGTCCGCGAACATGGTGCTCATCTTGCACTTTCCTCTCTGCACTCCCACCCGCCAGGGGGGAAGCGCTCGAGAGCCTGCAAAAATTAAACGACAACGACTTCGCTGGATTCCTGGACCACCGAGGAACACTCCCTGACAGACTACAGTCACACTTCCGCTTCCGGGGCACAGCGCCGGAAGGGCTACTTCCGGAGAGTTGCGTGGCCGCGCGAATCTAGCGGGAACCACGCCGGCTCGGGGGCTGGCGCTCAAACCGAATCTCGCGAGAGCTGGAACTTGAGTTTTCGCGACGGAAGTGCGACTACGGGACTTCGCGCGGTGGCTCTTCCTCGCTGGGGTGCTGGGCGCTCTCCTCTCGGCCGGAATCTACTTGGGTGCGCTCGTCTGCGCTTCTGCCTCAGCCCCACCTCTGAGACTTTAGGTAGTTTACTGAACGCCTGCGTTGGATGCAAGGCCACGGGTTTGGAACTGGGGACGCGAAAATCAGTTAGTCGTGGCTGCTGGCCTCAAGGAACTCCTGTCCTAGCGAAGGAGAGAAACGTGTGCATCCGGTGTGATTAGGGTTTTAATAGAGGTATGGCCAGAGTGCTGCGGTGACCCAGTTGAGGGGGTGGTCAGAGAAAGCTGTAAAAGGAATCGAAGTAATGCTTAGAAGAGTAGGAGTGCTTTGCGGGGGGCCTTTGTAGGCGAAGACGCCGGTGCTGAAGAATACGTGGTGTGTAATAGAGCAGTGAGTGATGTGTCTGGAGAAGGGGTCATAAACCCAAATGCCTCGGCTGGTTGCGTATAAATGATCTTATGCGGGCTGGGCAGAAGGAAACGGTGGGAGGTACTAGCATAAATAAGGGAGTGATAATTTTATCCGAAAGGAGCAATTGGTACTCAGATCCAGCCAGTTTCCCTGGGAGAAGGAGCACCCAGTTTTCGTTATCTTCCCGTTTTCCAGGAAAACCCCGAAGTCCTGATTTTATGTGAAAGTTCAGTTTATAAATGCTGGTAACTCAAGTTTTTAAATGCTGTATAGGTTAAAGGAAATGTCTTAGAAGCTTGGTTTCAGCCTGTGTAGAAGTTTTCAACTTTTTCAAGCTGATTCTGTTTGTACGAGTGTATTTGTGTTTATGAAAATCTGGAAGCTGGCGGAACTGTCTCCCCTGGACTTGTACTTTCTATCATTGGTTCTTTTTTCTTAAACTCCACTGTACTTAAGAGTTCTACTTTTGGTCTTTTTTAGCTTTATGTGCATTTCTTGTCTCTTTAAGACTTAGCAGCAGAGAGCCTGTCTCCTTTTAACAATGAATTTCTACTATGTGTAGAGAACAGTGATAGGCACTGTAGGGTCAGAGAGGGTGACTAAAATATTGTACCTGACTTCCAAGGTTCTCCTTGGATGTTAAACATTATAATAAGGTATAATCAAGGTATTCGTTAAATGTTATGGGAGCAGAGATGAGAGCAAAATTGGTTCTTCTTGGAGGAGTTGGGGAAGGCTTCACATTTGAGCTAGATCATAGTATGACTAAAAGTTAGGATAGGTTTTTATTCAACTCTGTATCGCTCATGGTAAATACTGAAGCACAAAAGGGGCATGACTTTTTTTTTTTAATTGAAATACAGTTGACAACACAATGTTACATTAGTTTCAGGTGCACAAAGTAGTGATTCCACAACTCTGTTATACTGTACCCACCACGATTGTAGCTGCCATCTGTCAAGAAGAGCATGACCTTTGAAATCAGACCTGATTTTCAATTCTAGCTTTGTCACTTAATTGACACCTGTCCTTAAGCATCTTTAGTCCTTGAGCCTGAGTTTCCTTATTTGCAAATATGGTAATAATAACACAGCTGCATAAAACTTACGAAGATTAAATGAGAAAGAGTATATTATACAGTATTTAAAGCTGTGCCTGACACAGTTGATCAAATCCGACATGCTATTGATTGTAAGATGAAACATTATTTTATATATGACTAAGAAAGAAAATAAACAACTAGTTAACCCATGACACACCATTGATTGTAAGATGCATCCCATTCAGAAGTGTTAAAATGTGGGGGGAAAAGTCTCACAATCAACAAAATACAGTAATAAGAGGAATTTCAACTACAGAACCGTGGGCTGCTAGGATAACATTTCCTTCCCTTGGGCAAGAATATAGTGACCCTAATCCCCTCATTGAAGAACAGTGCTAGAGGCAAGTTAAAATAACGTATTTTCTACATTCTACCAGATTCCTTTATCATATTTCCAAGTTTTCTAAGCTTTCAGTTGTATTAATTTAAGATTTCATTTATTTGTTTGAGAGAGAGAGTGCACGAGAGGGGGTAGGGTCAGAGGGAGAAGCAGACTCCCCACGGAGCACGGAGCTGGATGTGGGACTCGATCCCAGGACTCCAAGATCATGACCTGAGCCAAAGGCAGTCGCTTAACCAACTGAACCACCCAGGTGCCCCAGTTGTATTAATTTTTAGATTTCAAAAGTTTTCCCCATGAGGACCACCATTTCAGACTTTACCGTCCTGCTCCAATCTCTATGCCTATTATAAGGGTTTTGTCCTGGGACTTCCTTTTGCTGTTCTCTGGGGTAGGGTTCACTATTTCATGTACCCGTATCTCCCCCCTGCCTTAGTTTATACTTTATGTTGTGGTACACCCTCAAGGAACTTGTGGAAGGTAAATGGGAGCTAACCCTTTAGTGTGCTTATTAGAAGTATTAGTAACAATACTGTTTATAAACAAATACTTAGTACTAGGCTAGGCATCATAACAGATTATGAGAGAAATTAAATCCCACGGGGGTACCTGGGTGGCTCAGTCTTCAAGTGTCTGCCTTCGGCTCAGGTCATGATCCCAGGGTCCTGGGATCAAGCCCCATGTTGGGCTCCCTGCTCGGCGGGAAGCCTGCTTCTCCCTCTCCCACTCCCCCTGCTTGTGTTCCCTCTCTTGCTGTGTCTCTCTCACTGTCAAATAAATAAAAATCTTCAAAAAAAAAAATTAAATCCCTGCTTATAACTGAGGTATGAACGGGTAAGAGCAACTTCTCTGAGCCTCACTTTAAATTTGTAGAGATAAAAATGCCTACCTTCCAGAACTGCTTTGAGGTTTATATAGAATGAGAGCAAAATTCTGAAGTCAGACTACCTGTCTTCAAATCTTGGCTTCACCACTTCACTAGATGTGTAATTATAAGCAAATCTTTCACTGCACTGTGCCTTGGTTTCCTTGAATATACAATGGCATAATGATAATAGTGCCTAAGTCCAAAGGATTTTATTTTTTTTTTAATTTTATTTATTTTAGAGAGAGAATGCAAGTGGGAGGAGGGGCAGAGGGAGAGGAGAGAGAGAGAATCCCAAGCAGCCTCCACACTAAACACAGAGCTGGACGCGGGGTTTGATCCCATGACCCCTAGATCATGACCCGAGCCGAAATCATGAGTCGGATGCCCAACCTACTGAGCTATCCAGGCGCCCCCAAAGGGTTTTATTTTTTTTTAAAGATTATGTGAGTAAAGTGTTTAGAACAGTACCAGGCTCATAGAGAGGGCACATTAAGTGTTAACTGTTATTATTATTGGTTCTATTAAACCACCTACCTCATAATCATTGAACAATTTTTTTCATTCTATCCATTTTCCCTGGATTCTTACTCTCTTTAAAAGCTTCAGTTACCAACTGTCTGCTTCTGATCTGTAAAATAGTATCTGTAGCCTAAGTTTCTTCCCTGATTTTCAGACCTGATACCTGAAAGCCAAGTGGGCATTTACATTTGGAGATCTGAAACTAAACCTTTCCAGTTCTTCTACCCAAACTCCAATCTTCCCTTCTTCCCTTATTCTCCTAAAGAGTAGCACCATCATGTACCCAGTCTTTCAACCCAGAAAACAGGAACATCTAATCACCAAATGTGATAAATTCTCCCTGCCTCATTTCTCTTTTTTTTTCCCCACATCTTTCAACTCCTACAGTTTAACTCAGGTTACCATTGTCTTCCTTTGCATTACAGCCTTCTGCCTGGTTGGTCTCCAGTTACACACCCAACTGTCCCCTCTAAGCCATTCTTTTATGTAGCCAATAGTGATCTTTCTCAAATACAAAGATTTTTTTTTTCCCCACTAGGCTGGCAGGACTAGATAAAAACTGAGAAACGAGGGCGCCTGGGTGGCTCAGTTGCTTAAGCGACTGCTTTCGGCTCAGGTCATGATCCTGGAGTCCCTGGATCGAGTCCCGCGTCGGGCTCCCTGCTCGGCAGGGAGTCTGCGTCTCCCTCTGACCCTCCCCCCTCTCATGTGCTCTCTCTCTCTCTCATTCTCTCTGTCTCAAATAAATAAATAAAATCTTTAAAAAAAAAACCTGAGAAACGAATACTGAAAAGATTATGAGGACCCTCCCCAAAATACACTTTAAAATAAAACAAATGCTAAAGTAAATGTGAGTTTATTATCTTTTGGAATATTTTATTTATTCAAATAATTTTCACTCTGTGAGTGTGGGTCCCAAGTATGTGTTTAATTTGTCTTTTGGGTAAGCAGCACTGTGTTTGAGGACAGAGACTGGGTCTTGTTTATTTCTGCATCCCCAGCTTTTGGAACATGGCCTGGCACAGAGAAGCTTCCCAATATATAATGAATGAATGATACAGTTGGGAGAGAGGACAATAGGTTGGACAAATATCTTGGAAGAATGGGGAATTTTAGTTGGACTTTGAGGAAAAAGTGAAATTAGGATGTGGGAGAAGTGGTGATCAAAAGCATTGAATTGGGAATGAGAGAGAGGACATCATAGTTTGTGTGTAGTTGAAACAACCAATATGTGTGAAGAGGCTGTATGTTTAGTAGAAATAGAATTGACTAGGTAAAGTGACTGTATTTTATCTGTAAGAGGTACATGGTTGAACTTCAGGAGAGCCATAAATCTGAAACTGTAGACAGAACTTTGTGGATTTTTTTCCCGAATCAAAGATTCATAGTTTTTATCAAATTCTCAAGGGAGTTTATAAACCAATAACTGTTAAGATTTATGTTGTATATTTGAGAGACTGATGGGTCTTAAGCTTGATGCTGTAACCAGTTAGTGTTCAAAAATTTTTTGCTGCAGTACTCCTTAGGAGCAGAAGGGAGAGAATGAGAGCCTAAGATCTGGAGATAGAGCCTGAAGATTGGGACTTTTAACAGTA